ATTGATTAGTGCAGCTTTAAATCTAACTGGCTTCATTTTTGCAATGAGAATGAGAAGTTGTGACCTGGTTAACATCTCTAAATATTTACCTGTTCTGCTTTGCTTTGACCTAAAGTCCATGTCAGTGTTGAGGTGGACAAAGACCATAAGGCTGCAGCACACTTTTACCTGAGTGGTTTAAGTGCATTGCAAAAGGGCTCTTAGACATTGATGGACACAGAGTGGTTGAGCTGATGACCTTTCAGTTTTCAGATAGGTGATCTGTCTCAGCTGTTGGAATTGAGGTCACCCCAATATGTACTTCGTATTAGGTGCGTGTACAAGCTTTGGAAAATGGAATTAAACAATAAACAAGCTTTTTATAGCTGGAGACATCTTCAACCGATTTCTAAATGACCTTGTATTTCAAGCATCATTATATCTTGTTTGGTTGTTTGTACTGAATATTTTTCTCTATGACTTATTCCTTCAGGACAGCAGCCAAGGGAGTCTCTGAAATATGTTTAGAAATATTTTTGGCATTCTTACTCCCACCACTTCGAACTAGTGATGTATGACTCACAATAATTACTAATTTTACTGTATTTTCATGTTTGTTGTTGTAGGACTGTGAGATGCCGGCATGTCCATGGGCCTCTCCTGCACAAATCACACCCCGTCCAGACAACTCAGCTCAGCTCCTGACTCAGTGGAGATACGGCTCCTGGACTGCGGTAAGGAAACAAACAGGCTTTATTGGGTCTATCAGTGCACATTACAGTCGGTGGGTTTACCTTATAAAGTCCAAAGAATATACAAAAGCAATGCGGTTTTTGTTGAATGGTAAACAAATTCTTGTACTGTTTTGTTCATCTTTCTGTGTGTGTAGCTTGAGGGAAAAGGATCTGCTGGACTCTGGTATCAGATTTACTTCTGTCTTTGACAAAGAATGAAAAATGAGAACACTGATGAAAAAGTTTGTATACATATGTGTGTGTGTGTTTAATAGAGGGGAAAAAAAACACTCCAGTAATGATGGGTCTCCTGCATGTGTGTTTCCAAATATTAGGTTGACATATTAAACTTTATTGTATATCCCAACATTCCTTCAGATAGTACATATTGTACAGGACCATGATCCTCTTTGGCATTGTCTCTTTTACCCCCTGCTGCATCTACACGCTCATACACACACACACACACAAACACACACAGGCTCCACTGTCTGGGCTGAGAGGCCCCTCTGTCTCTCTGATACTTTGCATTGTTACTCGTCGCAAATGAAAACCAGATTTCATCTAAACACGAGTCTACGGTTTCTAAGATTGAACCCCGTCTGTCAATCTGAAAGTCGGTGTGAGCTCACATGTCAAAGAGGCTAGCGCCAGTGTGGTCTTAGAGACACCACATGCATAATACACACATCACAAACACACACACACACACACACACACACACACACACATTCCCCTGAGCAACGGAACTGCCATCGTCTTTAGAGTGTCATTGATATGAGAGGGATATTAACGTGCCTATTTGAGCTGGAGCCTTTTGATTGCATTAGGTATTCACCCCCTCACAGATGTTTACTATGATGTTCCATTGAGGTGGCGGGGGTACAGCTATAGAGTATAAGCAGGTGAAAGTTGATCAAGGAGTCATTTCAGGTCACCAGCAACAGTAGAGAAACAGGTACACCAAGTAAAGAATTCACAATATAAGATATTTCCCAGTGTAGAGAAACTTGTTAGCATCAAACAAGCAAACAAATAACCAAGGTTTATTGGTTAGCTGGAGGAGAAAAATAGAAAAATAAAAGGAAAATCAAGAACAGCTCAATAGTCTATTGCAAATTGTGCTTGAAAGGTTATTTTCTGTAAAGAAAAACAGGCGGCTATTTGGTAACTTCGAAACACTTTATACTATACAATATCTGGGTAATTATATGTCTACTACAGGTACTATAGCCCTGTAGATACATAATATATATTGTATACAGTATATAGTATGCTTTCATTATCATTCTGGGCTGCCAATTTGCAAAAATTGTATGGCACAGCTTGCACGGCACTTAAAACCAGACAATTTTGTGGTACGTTTTCTAAACAGTCGCACTCTACCTCATGATAATTTTGAGTCAGGGAAAAGTATAATGCAGTTATAGTAAACCACATGATACAAACATTTTTTAAATTCCACTTAAGACAAATATTTATCTCAGCTCTGCTTGTATCCACATGTTCTCCAGTGCTCAGTGTCCTGTGGCAAGGGGAAACGGGAGCGTTATGTCAGCTGCAGAGATGCCCAGGGAGGGGTGGCTGACGAGTCACACTGTGCCCACCTGCCCCGCCCCCCGGAGACCTCCGCCTGCTTCAGCCCCTGTGGCCAATGGCGTGCCGGGGAGTGGTCTCCTGTAAGTAAAAACATCCAACACTGTGTCCAATCAATACAGATGTTTTCCACTCCAGATCACTCAGTTCATTTTCCCAAATATGTAAAAATCAAATGGGCATTTGTTACTGCTGTGATCTTGGACAGTTAAGTCTTGATTTGTGAGTGTCAGCATGGCAAGGGAACCAAAACACTTGATGATGTCATTAACAGACCAGAGGTGGGATTAGCAGTTAACTGGCAGTTAAGGAGCCAGGGATTATTTATGGTGATACAGTCACGATCTTTTAATCATGTGCTCGTGTGAAATGAAGTTCATATAAATCTTAAAGCCCAAATGAAATATCTCTGACGACAAAGTCTAAAGCTCATTAAATTCATGTCACATTACGTTGATCTCTACTCCCGTTGTAGCCGCAGTTACAGACTCAAGGGGCTTCACATCACAAGGCTCCACATCATGAAGCAATACATGGGATCAATCAATGAAAACAACACTCCCCAAAATGTAGGGTTGATTTAGAACCTGGAAAATCTCCTACAAAAATCTCACTAGAGAAATAAATGGAAGAAATCTTGGGAAATAGGAATGCAACTGAAAGGTCACAAACACAGATATTAAACATCAAAACATTGTGACATTTACAAAGTATAGAATCAATACATCACATCATCATGTCACATTCGTCTAGTACAGGGTTTTCACTACGATGTAGACCATGTAGTTTAATCTATACTTTAAATGAGATTTCTACCTCTGGGAGAGATCTAGCACTCAATTTGACAATCCCTCTCCTTAAGCTGTTTTTAACACCTTGGTTGCCCCCTCACCCCCAGTGTTCAGTGACTTGTGGTGTGGGAAGAATCACCAGGCAGGTGGTCTGCTCTAACTACCACCAGCCAGTGGACCAGTCTTTCTGTGACCCAGATGAGAAGGCTGTGACAGAACAAGAGTGTACCGCTGCCCCCTGCTCCTCTATCTACCACCGTCAGCGCATCAATGACCAGCCATACGGGTATCCCCAGGACCCAGGACGCCATCCTGGGCACAGCAGCTGGAATGTGCCCTCAGCAGACAACCAGTGGAGGACTGGACCCTGGGGCGCAGTATGTTCAGCATGTGATCTTTGGGGAAATAGAGCTGTGCAGAACTATTTTGTCTTGTTGTAGATTTATTTTAGAAATTCCAGTCAGAAATTTGCATCATTTACTTGTCATGTACAGGAAACCAGTTAAGATCTTCTTAAGGAGCCTGATTAATATTCTTTATCGGCACACAAAACTTAACTTTCATAATGTCACTGAAGAATAACATGTTGGTTTTTTTTTATGTATGGCCAGAACGGTTGATAGTACTGTATATATAATGTGTTGTCATGAAGGCCTGCGTGTGTCTGTCTGTAAACACATTCTTGTGAACTAGGAGGTAGCAGATGTTTTTGTTTCGCAGGGCAGAGGGCCATACATGGTAAAGGACTTTACAAACAGCACCAAGGGACAGATTGCAATGCATACTAAGGACTGCAGAGTGTGTGTGTGTGTATATATATATATATATATATATATATATATGGTTCGTCAGTGTATGTATAGACATTCAGGACTCTATAGCTGTGTAACCAAGAAAAACTCTTACCTCAAGGTAGGGGCCATCTTTATTGTACATGAACAAACCCAATTGGTTCAAAGCGCTTCAGGCTTATCCTCAAGTCCTTGACCCTAAATCAAAATGTCAGAAAAAATCAAGCACAATGGTTCAAGGGCAATATTTTTGCATTTGATAGTGTCTTGTATTTTCATGCAATGATTCTGCTTTTGCCAAGATAGGTGCATTGACGCAGTCGGGGTTGTGTCTTCTATATGTAGTTTTGTTAGCATAGTGCATGTCGCCATGAAATTGCCCTCATGTACCACTCTTGTCACAACACTTGTGCAAAGAGATATATTTGGCTTAACATGGTGGAGGTGCAAACCAGACCTTAATTAATAGGTAGCACATACCTAAGTTAAAGGAAGGGGTGATTCTTACTAGTAGTGTGAGGGCCTTCAGTTTCAGTTGATTGAATCCCTGTAGCTATTATATGATATGTGCGAGTTCACCCCGGGTTTGTGCTGATGATTGCATTTGTGTTGTGTGAAAATAGAACCCAGTGTGCTGTTTTAAAGAGACAACTTGCTCCCTGCTAGAAGATAATTGACAAAAGTGGTCAATTTAGAATAAAATGCCAACATTTTGCACCTAATGCTGGTGTTTTTCATTTCTAAAAAGCAACAGTCAGATAACTGACGGCTTTTACTCCTGATTATTTTACTGTGAAACTTTTTTTTAGAGACCCAATTGTTATGGGGCTTTAAGCTTCTCTTTGTGCAAGGCACGAGAAGAACATTGTTATTTTCTAAACCAGAGGCATTTAACCTAGTACGCTGTTCAGTCTCACATAATGAACTTGACTGCTGTTCAGGCTCACTCTGTGCTGTCCTCCCTCACATATAGAACCCTGTATGTACTCCCATTGACAGTGGGGATGTGTCATTTAATTGGATGCAGAGTGCACCTACTGCTCTGTTCAAGGCTGCGTTGTTCAGTGCTTGAAATTGTCCTGCATGGACTGATGTTTTCCATCTTCGAAAGATTATTTCGAACAGTGCAGCTTGATTTGGTCTTGGTAAATTCACCCAAATAGGTTTTGTACATATTTGTGTGCATGTTTGTACATGTAAGCCTGCATTATCACTGGAATCTGTAAAATCTTTGATCACTGTTTTATTAGACCTGTGTGAAACAGTTGGGCCAGATGCTTTTAGATATTTTTAGACTTTGTAGGTGTTGAAAAATGCCTTCAGGTTAGCGTTAGAGTATTTGAATTCTAGAGTGAGTTTTTAATTACTTTTTTGTTATTATTTGTATTTGTCACTAATTTAAACAGCAGTACAGTAACAGTAGTAATAAAGTTCTTACTAGTAGAATTGGTCTAGAGTGTGGTCTAAATTTCTGTTATGATTTGGCGCTATACAATTGAATTGAAAATTGAATTGAATTGTTGGAAGGTTGAATTTAGAGTATTTTACCACAGCTGAGTAAAATAATACATACATGGCAAAACATAAAAATATGTATGTCTATCCCACCTATCCCTTATCATTTAACTAAAAAGTGGTGTGTAATTACTCACACTTGGCTTTTTATGCATTAAGTATATGTTGTACCTTTACTAAAGCTTCATTTAAATAAATAGATTACTATCAACTAAATCCAACCAACTAAGGCCTGTGAGTTCTGGCATATTTCTTGCTTTCATATTTCGTAGTCCTCACTAACACACATTGTGTGCTCTGCAGTGTTCCAGTACCTGTGCAGGAGGGTTCCAGAGGCGAGTGGTGGTCTGTCAGGATGCTGATGGACGCAGCAACAGCTACTGTGACGAGAGGGTCAAACCTGCCGAGTCTAAGAGCTGCAACTCTGGGCCCTGCCCTCTGTGGAACTACGGTGTCTGGGGAGAGGTGAGGTTAATTGAGTTTGAAACACAGTTTTTGTCATCCTCTACCAGTTACTTGTTGTGAACCATATTACATTTCTCACACAGCTTCTGTTTTTCATCCCTATCATCTGTTATGTCTGCTGTCTGTAGGTCTCTCTCTCTTATCACTTAAACAAAAAAACAAGCATTTGTCGGATCTCTGAAATAACAGATAGTTTGATTAGTACGGTCAAAAGACACTTAAACACACATATACACATTATAAGACACACTTATTAACACACACATTATTAACAGTTTGATTATATAACATTATTAAACATCATTTTTTGCTCGCTAATTGCAGTGCACCCAGACCTGCGGTGGAGGACGGAGGACTCGCCTGGTGGTTTGTCAAAGGCCCAGTGGCCAGAGGCTCAACGACTACAACTGCGACGTCCTGGACAAGCCGCCCGACATGGAGCAATGTAACCTGCAGTCCTGCCCAGGCTCTGCCTCCTGGCACCGCCGACCATGGAAGCCGGTACGATAGTACTAACTCGTTTTCCTCCAGCACATATCTTCCTAACTGAGAGCGCGTCACTGTGAGTAGACATGGTGTGTGCTAAAATGACTTCAGACCTGTGTACTGAGTGTCTTTTAGCCTAAAACTAGGAGATTCTGAAGTGAGCACTGGGTATCTCGCGCCACTGTTGGCTAGCCAACTCCAGCCCACCCAGATGGGCCCTGCAGTGGCATGGTGCTGATTAGGATAAAAAAAAAAAAGAACAAATACACAAAAAACACAACGCTGCTCCACTTAAGGGATCATTAAAAACACATGGATCCCATTTTGAGCCAAGGCTCCAAATTAAAACCTATAAATCAGGACAGTGTTGTCCAACAATGCCATATATTTGTAGAGGCATAACTCTAGAAAATATTTATTTTATATATGAGGCGTGAAGTAAATGTTCTTTGTCGTTATTGCTGTCTTCACCCTGTATCCGAAATACACAAGTGTATATTTGTGTATAAGAGGTAATATTATGACCTTTATTGAACAGCAACAAATGACTGTCAGTGTATTTTGTATATGTATCTTTGTACAGTATGATTTTGTTTTTCAAGTAGTTAGTTTTCGTTATTGAATATTATATTTAATATTTTTGCTGGTGCTCTTGGTCAGACTCTCGTATCTCTCTATGAGTAAATACAGTTTGTACAGAGGAAAATATTTTCAAAATATGTTTCATTCGTATTTTTGATTATGTGTGTTTTACTTTAGTTGAAATACAATTTAGTAAGGCTTCATCTCTGTTAGACTGAAATATTTTAAATCATCTACATCGTCACCATAGCAAGAAAACTATTAAACAAACAATGAAAATTCATCTTGAAAACAATATCCAAAAACTACATTAAAAATAAGTGCCTTAAAATGCAGAATGATTGGAAAATAAGCATAATAGGAAAGAGTTCTAAAATATATATATATAAACAGTTATTTTATGGTTTCAATAAAAAGTATATTGCCCAGTATATGATGTAGTCTATATCACATAGGAAAACTGGCATAAATGCTGATAAACTACACTGTAATTACACATTCAAACATCTTTCTTCACCCGGTTCTTACTTTATATACAATCAAGCCATTGAGCACAGGCATATCCCAAAAACAATGGTATGTCAAAATGAATCATCTTATGTGAGGATGGAAATGTTGGACACTTTGGATTTAATCCTAACATCATATCATGTGAAAGGAAGTCAGTCTAGTGACAGAGGTCTAATCCAGTTTCTCTGCAGCCACATGAACAAAATCGGCAACTTTAAAATGCAATTTATCGTGCTATTGTGATATTTTGGGTTATTTGTCATTATGATATGGTGCTATTAAATTTTACAATATATAATGGATCATTGTCGGTATCATGAAGACAGAGTTTTATCATATCTCCAGGCTTAGAATGAATTTATTTATTCTGTTAATGGTATGCAGCATTAGTGCAGCTTACCAAACATAAAACTGTCACTGCAGTGAATCGAGGTTATCATTGAGCCATTCCTTTTCTGCTTTCTATATTGTCCATAAAGCAAACTAAAGCACACAAATACCTCCTTCTTATAAAGTTATAGTCATTTGTTGCTGTGTCTTTTTATTCCTTTGGCCAGTTTTTGTATTTCTGAAGGATTATTTCTTTTTTTTTTTTCAAATTAAACTTATTTATTTGTTTACAATAGATTATTAATTGTTGCAGCTTTAATGTTTTGTTACAGTTTAGATTGATGTAACACTTTACTTGAATTATTTGTCATTATACACACATGTCACTTGAACACTACTAGTTGGGCCCTTGTACAGTATAAAACTTAATACCGACTTGCCACTTAAGTCATTGTCTGCGGTCACGTAACCTGGTCAGCGATAAAACATGCTACTCCAAGGGCAACTATATAGGCAACACTGAATGGCTTTGGCACTGTTGTATTATGCTGCTGGGACAGGATAGGTAGAAACTATTCATTCTTGACAGGTTACAGCATCACAGCATCATATACATCTGAATCTTTCTGGCTAGTCAACCAGTGTAAAGCCTTTAGATCAGATTTCAGCTTAATGATATGGTCAAAAGAAGCCGCTCTTATTGCTTTGCTTGTTGTAGCCTTAAAGAGCAACAAAACACCAGCTGAAAATATTGCTGAACTTCAGTAGTTTAACCCTTTACCTGGCTGCAGTGATGTAGAGGTGTACACCAGGGTGTGTCATTACACCATGACGTCCCTGGGTGATGTGGTTACAGGTGCACACGTCTGACCATGGCCAACATGGAGATGTGAAACACACTTGAAACTTTTAACTAGAAGGGGCAATGAAATGGTGCTATTCATCCTGGTATTAGGTTACTCTTTAAGGCCAGTTCAGAGTTTAAGAGCTTAGTAACGTATCCTGGGAATCTTACAGCTCTCGTTTAATGCAGGATCCAGTATACACAGTCTGATTATGTGTTAAGGCTCCTTTGAATTTGTGACCAGCGTTAAAATGTGACATGTCAGTACCCTGAATTATATTTTGGTTAAGGCAACATAAAAGAATCATGACACATATTTCAGGTGAAGTGTTGCAGTTGGGTCTGTATTTATGTTGTTGTCCTCTCAGTGAGGATGTCTGCAGTCTCCTTCTTTGTTTCTTTGCTGTGTGTGCGTGTGTGTGTGTGTGTGTGTGCAGGTGTGTGTATGTGTGTGTGTGTGTTTGTGTGTCATTGTCAACCAAGGCTTCCACTACAACCAAGACTCCTCAGCAATGGCAGTTTCACTCCCACTCCTTCATTTCTTTTTTAACCCTGTGGTGCAAGTTGTCAAACTCAAGGGAGCAACTCTACTTTATTTTGCATATTTTGGTTCTTTGTTGTTCTTTTTGCTATTTATTTCAGTCACGTGCAAAAATACATAAACATGTTGAATTAGCTTTTTCCCATTGTAAAGATTATTAAAGAAACATAACTGTGAAATTTGTGTTGTTTCTCAATGCAATATTTTACTGACATAGAAAATACAGGACTGTACCTTTAACAACTTAAGTAGTTACTTTGTACACTAAAGGAATAGCACAATTTATGTTATGTATAAATCCTACAGACATCATGCTAGGCAACAGCAAAAATACAAAAGTAAAACAAAATAAGACACACTGAAAAAGAATAAAACTTGGCATACATAGTTTATTGGTTAAACAGGGGAACAGCTTTTGTTTAGACACAGCAGTTATTCTTTCATATACAGAAGCTTCATACTACACTAACATGCATTACATGTACAATATGTTTATGCAGTATATAGTGTGTAGGTGAGTTTCTTACAGTTCATAGAAAAGACTTAACTTGTAGATCATTATGTGGTATTTTGGTATTTGACCCTCAATTGACTTCAGTCTGTTTAGCAGCCTTTTGCAGTAATCTTTATAATAATTAAGTCTTTAGAAGCATAGCTAAAATATGTTTCCATAGTATCTGTACTATTTTTCATACCTCTGCATAATGTAGCGCAAAAACACTGCAGGCCTTCCTTTTATGCGATTTAACATTTTATTTTTATTCTCCCTGGAGAACACATACACAGTCCAAATCAAACTTTGGTGCTGGGTGGCACATCTGTTTACCATTGCATTAATGGAGCTCTCTGTAATGCATTTGGCAGGAGTCCGCCGGAGTATTACTTTTACTACAACAATAATTGGTATTAATTCATGCTGGCAAGGGTTGTTTAGTTGAGGAGATCCAAAAGCAAGCCCTGTAAAGCCAGTATTTACAGAAAACTGCTGATTAAATTATGTATTTGATATTTTCCTGTTTTTTTTAGGAGAGGTCCTTTGAAGGCAATACGTTAAAATAGCTTTGTAAAACACCTAGTAGTGTAAGAAGTAATATCAGGCAGTATTTTTAAATAATCTAGTAATTCAAGTAAATGCCTTACTATCGGCTTTAACTCAAAATAGACCACATTACGGGATTCTACATAAACCTACTACCTAAACTTACCTAAATAACCAACTCCAGTGAAGAATTCATTTCATATAGATCTATATCAATCAGCAGTGTAGTTGACAAAAATGATTAAACTTAAATTAAAGGCTAACATTGGTTATCAAATTACGTTCACACGTGACTTGCATCATATATCACAGGAAGCCTTCATTCAGTTTTTTTTTTCTTTTATCATTTCATACATCCAAATATTAAATACTGTCCCAGTGAAATGGCAAATGTTTAGGGCTGATGCTCTTTTAAATTACTAGCTAGAGGGGGGATAAAATGATGTGGGGGTTCTTGTATTACATAACAATGTCAAAATATTTCTTATGGCTTCAGAGGGCATCTTACTTTTCTGTTTGTAGTATCACCAAAATATTTTCCTATGCAAAGTAAAGACACTTTTGTCACCAACAATATGAATCACATCGTTTGCAGCAGTAGCTCACAATTTTGTATTTATTTTTTATTTATTTATGAAATATTTTTTTTATGAAAATATATCTAACACATTCTCCCAAAATATCACATATTATTATATACTGTTAAAACCTTTCTTGGGAATGTAGTTAATACATTTATTATCCCACAGATTTGAAAGCCATTTTAGTTAAGCCGTTTCTTCAATATTTCATCACAGACTTGTTACCAGAGAAATTACTTTATTAATGATGGTATACCATCTTGACAATATTCACAAGTGTGGTTCTTGGTATACATTTGATCAAGAAGAGTCATCTTTTATGTTGACATTCAATTACAGGACAATAATGTCCAAAAACAATTTTACAAAATGTATTTTATTATTTTATTTTTTTGATTTTGTCTTTTTTTTCTGCCTCATTTTTACTCCCTGACTCCTGAACCATTTCCAATCCTGCTGTAATCACTTTAGGAACCACTTCAAACAAATAAATAATTGTCTAACCTATATTCATTTTCCAAATACAGGTAATCAAAAACACATTTGTCATATATAAAAAAGAAAAGACACAAAGCAATTATCAAATTTATTGCACAAATTCAGGATTGCAGTCACATAGTTCAACATAAACTGTCAGGAATGTAAATATCATTAACTAATGGTAATTACCTCAAAAGCAATGTCGATGTCAAATGTGCGCAAGCAGCAACAATAAGTCTGTGTGTGATAAATTGGCGACCAAGGCACCATTTTAGTAATTTATGCCTGTTTGTTGCTAACAAAAACATACCGTTTCCTGTCAAGAGTGGGTTTCCCATGGAGGGGGATTGCAGTTGGGCGTCTGTGAACTAATCATGCTGCTTCAAATGAAATCCACATGCACAACATTGACATACTTGACTTTGGCCTGGGGCAGTGGGCAAGAGCATTCTCCAAACCTGTCACCCTGGGGTCAGTCGGTCGTGACATCATTGGGCTTGTGTTTCCTGATCTTGCTCATTTGCCAGTCGAGTGTGAGCAATTGAAGCGGTGGCTGGAAGGTCTCCCCAGGTCCTCACGAGCATGGTTCTTGTCATGGCTTTAATTTGAATCTGAGTCAGGAGATAATGTTTCATTTCGGCCTTTGAGAGAAAGCAAAATAATTAAGTTGATGATTTGCTGGTTAAAAGTCAAGCACTATAGCCTACAGATTTTGGCAAACCATTAGGACTTTGAAGGCAGAGAACCAGATGCTGTGAGATGTTATCTGGAGATTCAAAATATTTGGATTACAGCATGGCTTTGGCACTAGGAATGGAAATCTCTTGTAGGCCAACCAGTTGGATAACATGAAGTTTAACATATTGCACACTGTAATATAGATTTTCTTTGCCAGCACTGGCATAAATCTTCTCACAATTTATTGGGGCTTACAGAGCAGTTAAAAGACGATATTAATGCTGTCCCTGTAGGACTTAAGCCCCATCTGAAGGAATAAAAGTTGACTCAAAACCATAGTGAGTTTGCGCAGGACATTGGGTGAAATTAGGAGAGGAGCCTATCTAGTAAGTGTATTTTTATTTTGTGGGCAGTCTGCTTTAGGAGCAGATGCAGTGAGATGAAATGAGAGGAGACAGGGTGTGAAAGTCTGGAAGCATTTAAGTTGGTCTACTCCAGGCTCATTGAAAGATAGAGAATGTGGCCTCACTTTGACACAGGTAGAGAGTGTCTGCTTATCCTCAACTCGTCGGTCAAGTATTATAAATTGGTTTTAAGCCTCTAGGAGTTGCTTCTTAGACTGCACTTGAATGTATATTCTTCTCACATGAGGCTACCACGTCAGACTTGATGGGGCCTGGTGCTGTTGGAGCCTGTCGATGCTATCAAGTTGATGGAGTGAAATGGAATTTGTGAGTCTTGACATATCTGTCAAAGAGCTTTTTACCCTCTTATGGGATAAACAATGATAGATTGGGAGTTTGAGCCCATTTTAAGTAACGGTGAGCTAATAGTGCTTCATTTCAACTCCAGCAAAAGGGAGAGATTAGAGATTTAGCTCTACACATATAATACTATTTGAGTACGTGGGCTTTACTTTTCACGCAAGTTAGTGACTTGTCAGCTCGGTTTCTCATGGTTCATCGTTATAGGTTAGCAGGGCCACTGGTCCACAGATGTGAGGAAATTCCTGTATGTCAGTCAGTGCCTGATGCACTATTCATCGAAGTTATATCTTCAACCCCTTCTCCACTGGCTACTAAAAGATACCAACATTCAAAAGAGAAATCCACCTTTGAGTATTTTGCATGTTTTATGGTTGTAATGATAATGAATGATCTTCCTGATTAATCAATTAATTGTTTTGTCTATAACAAACTGGAAAATAGTGACAATAGTTATACATTTACTATTATGAAAGACAAAGAAAAGCAGCAAATCATTGCACTTGCACTTAAATACCACATATCAGCTCTATAATACTGCCATATCATTAATATATAAAATAAATAGGGACGCATGCATATTCGTAGATTTTCCTCCATTTCCATTTTTTCCATTACAAAAACAATGTGTAATAAACTATGCTATATCTCTTTTTCTTCCAATGCTTGCTTGATATTTTTGTCTTTTTTAAATAAATGCAAGGTCAGGATCTTCCACTTTTTTGAGCTTTTCCATACTTCCTTGTATGCAAGCTGTGGCAGGCTGGTTGCTATGACAGATTTGAAAAGCAGATGTGTAACATTAAGCAGGAAGAGGGAGTTAGACTTGAATGTGTTGTGTCAAAGGTTACTACTTTATAACTTTACGGCTGGTCTGCTGTTTGTATTCTTCAAGTTAATCAAAAATATATATTTATTCTATCTTTTCTATAGTTATTCCTCACTTTCTCTATCTGCAGAGGAATATTGCTTTGAGCTGGATGTTTCAGTGTAACATAGTTATGGAAAAAGCGTTCATTGGAATGTTTAGACGGACGGAAAAACTCATCTGTTTTGTCATTTCGTTTTGACTTATGGTTGCTTGGTGTATCTTTTCTGAGTAGTGTTGACTTAAAAAGGAAACGGTGTTGAAGAAACTGTATATGCCTACTCAACCGGTTGTTTATTTAACTCTTTAAAGATGGAAAAGTAATACTTTTGGCATGGAGTGCAGAATATGCCATATAGTTTTAGCCAACCAGAAGTCTGTCAGGAACTGCATTGACAGAAATAGGAACAGGTAAAATTTCCACATCTTACAATCAGTCCCATCCTGGGATGACTAATATGGCAAAGTCAACATGTCAAATCAAATCCATACTGCACTGTGAGCAAAGACATCTATATTTTGCATGTGATTATATTTGCATATACTTATATATACTATAAACATACTGTTATTTGCATGATTTCTATGGTTCATGGATAAAGTTAGTAAAGATTAGCGTTCGATAGGTTGGATATATAAGTGTTAGGATTTACCACTGCTCCTGTATGTGGTTTTAAAACAAGTCTGGGTGGCTATATTGGCCTGATGGATAAAAGATCTATGACTCTTGACATTCCTCTGCCCCATGACGCCGCTCTTACCAGCTGTTCCCATGTTGACAGCATGTGTTGTTTTGACTTCTGTCTTTGAAAGCTCCCTGCAAAACAAGACCATGAACAGAGAAGCAGCCTGAATGTTCTGTGACCTTTCATCTTCCTCCCTCTTGTCTCCTTTCTCTGATTTGCAGAGAACATGGTGATACTGATAAAGCTGCAACAAAAGACATGCTACTACTTTAAAGTACAGTCAGTTCCCAACTATTATTGCTCCTTGCCTGATTTGGTGTGCAGATAATTTAAAATTGTGCGTGAGCACGGTTGACTCAATAGAGCAGTTACCTTTGTTTGAGGGTTCTGTATCTCACAGCCTTGACATGTAGCCCAGGGTATAATTCTACACTCAGTCTACACTTGCAAGTTTGTTCTTGCTCCAGGTCAACACTGAACTCCTTTGAAGAGTCTAACTGTAACTACAGTTACCATATGCTTGGTATTACCATCCTCTTGCATAGCAAACGTGCTGCAATGTGATTGGAATTCAACCTTGGCTCCCATATTTTAAGATAAGACTAAATATAGGAAACAAAAAAATCATTTGTGGTCTAAATTGCCTTTTAGCAGCATTTCCTTTACACTTAATAATGCATCATTTCGTATAAACTTATTACTATGCTGTAGTCCTAGTAGTTATTTGTTTCATAATATAGTTTGTGTAATTATTTTGCAGGACATCATCCTAGAAGTGAAGAAACAAGATGAAATTTAGGAATAAACCAGCATGTACAAAAATAATGTTAAACACAGATATATTTTCGCAATCTGGCAAAATGATCAAAACTCAAAACTAAGCCCCAGCATAAACCATTGTTTGTTTTCAAAACACTGAATTCTTCTTTTATCACCAAACAAAAAGCCTTTTACAGAGTAATTATAGTTCTCACAAGTATTAAATGTTTTCATACACTGCTTGAGGCTTTGGTGATCAGTGATCAAATAAATGCACCTTTACACACAAAACAGTTTTCATCTGAGCCAGAAGCGTGAGTTAAGTTTCCTGGAATTTACCTTCTTTCTGTGAGGTGCTGTACAGTATTGGCTGCTTTGATTGCCATATCGGCTGAGTGACAGATATGTAAACTTCAGTCAAGTTTCTCTTGAAAAGTTTCCATATGTCCTATTGACTTACCTGTTCACAGTAAAGCACTGGGTGTGGTCATCCTGAAGTCGCCTCCTGCCAGTCAGAAAAAAAGTCTAATGTCAGTCTGATTATGCTGTTAGAAGGTATCTGCAAGAAATCTGTCTGTATTAAATCATATTTTGTTAGTTTAATCAAAATCAGACATCTATGTTTAGAACTCCTCAGGCTGTTTTATGGTTTTATAGCACGCAGAAAAGGCATGAATTAGTTGGGTCTGGTTTAGCACTCAATTATGTGATTTGTTCCAGAACTGTGAAACACTATTAAATCGAGAATGCCGCTTTGGGGCCAATAAGTTGAATAATTAAGAGCTGCCTGTTCACTACGTATGGCTTTAAGTATCAATTATGTCTTTCTCTGCAGAAGTTCTGTTCTGCTTGGAAAAAAAAAACTTGTTTCACAAAAGCTGTTTTAGTTGGTTGATTTTCAACTTTGTGCTAAATCTAAAGTGGGTGAGTCATTCCATTTTATACTAATCTACATTATGCTAAGATTAACTTCTCCGGATTATACCAGATTTAACCCACCTAATCTTGTGAAATTAATTGCTGAGACAACGTGGGAGGGCAAATCTGTCTCAAGAGTCTTTCCATTTCCCATGAGAGCCATTGATTTATGTGTTTTTCTCAAGGAGTTGTTCTTCTCCTTCATGCTAAAGTGACGCTGAGATTTTTTTTTACATATATTCAAAACACTC